ATGGAAATGAATGTGTTGCTGCTAAAGATTTGAATTAGTTACTGTAAAAAGGAGGATTATAACGGTATCATAAGCTCGATTTGTCACCCTGGCTCTCCTTTAATTCATCATTTTTCTATTTAGCTGCTTCTTTAAATCTTAGGAAAGATTATATTCAAGAAACATGTACTCTCTAAGCCTTAGAGATTAAGAGAAAAAGAACAAATTCCTTTTTCTGTGTAATTACTGAACGACATAATGCATAGGATTCAAATGATATAAATTGTATTTCCTTTTTCAAAAGAAAAGTTTATTGAGGAAGATATATTTCTTTTTCTCACCCACAATTGTTCTGAATGTTCAGTGAATTAAACTTTTAATACAAGCTTCAGATTTCCCCCAACAATCCATTTGTCATTCTATGAAACCCTGGAGTCAGAAGACGTCCCAATTCACGAAACGCACATAGAAATTATTCTTTTATTAATGCCAAATGAAAATTATAAACAATGATATTTGTCCGGTGAATTTTGGACACCAAAATAATCTGTCCGTTTTTTGACAAATGTAGATTTTCCTAGCTGAATAAAACAAAACTATTTTTTTGACACCAAATATAATCTGGACACCAAAATAATCTGTCCGTTTTGAGACAAATGTAGATTTTCCTAGCTGAATCAAACAGAACTGTGTCCAAATAACGCTGGACAAAAAAAGGTAACAGATTGAACGCTTGAAATTAATCAAAAGCGGCCCAAGCTGGTGAGCATAAAACTGTTTTGCAGGTTTCCTTCTTAGAGTTGTAGGGTGTAAAAACGCAGTAAGTACAACTGCTGTTCAAACTGACTGCATTTGACATCTCAGCAAAAACTCTCTCCTCTGAATTCATATTGAAGAAGGGAATCACTGAAAAGATTTCGTATGGGTAATTTTTTGACATGTAGACACTGGGTATATGCATTGGCTTTTTCCATCAACCTGCCATAACGTCATCTTGACTATGCTTTCAGTCCTGAATATTGTGATCAGTATCAAATATAAAAATGTCTTTTCAACAGCAGTGAAGTACATGTAGTGGCTAAGACCACAGGTTACAGAGAGGGAGAGTACTGGGTTCACATCGCGCACTTCCGTTCCTTAATGCAAGGGCAGCTCAGGAAACGAATTAAGCTTACTGGGCGTGTGATTCCCTCCATGGTAATATAGGGAGAGTAAAACCCACCTTCCTTGACAAAATGATTATGAGGATTAAAGTAAATAATGCATTGAAAATGCCTCGGACAAAGCAGGGCGCTTGGAATGTCGGGTGCATCAGTCATCCGTGATGGCAGCAAGAGCAGTTCTTGTATCCATGGCACCCGTTGTGTGAGGTGTTCCTATGCCATGATTTCGGGCCTGGTGCCACAGCATAAAGGGCACTCAGGACTGCTGCCTCTCGCTGCAGAAGTGCCCAGAGAGTTTCAGGCTGCATACTACTTTAAGATAATTTTAAGGAAAAAGAGTCATTTTATCAGATTCCTTTACCTTCACACCAAAATCATACTGTCCCAAAAAAGAAGTTTAAAGCAATTTGAAAATTGTTTTGGAAGATTTTTTTTACTTGGATGCTTTTCCTGTGGCTGCACATACTACTTGGGGCTATCATCTAGCATTGTATTCGTTTTGAGTTCCTTCCGGAGAGTGACCAGCTCTCGCTGCTTAAATACGCACGCATTGAGCAGGCTGAGTCCCATAATACACTAGCCTTATGCTGTTTTATGTGTTTCCAGAAACCACGTTTT